TATTTTGAATGTGTCATTCCATTCTCTCCTGACCTGAAGTTTCTGTTGAGAAATCCATCGATAGTCTTATGAGGGTTCTCTTGTATGTAACTTCTCACTATTGAGGTTCAACTTATTTGGGGTCCTTTGTGCCTCATGGATCTGGATGTCCATCTCTCCCTAGGTTTGGGAAGTTTTCAGCCATTATTGCTTTAAATATATTTTATTTCCCTTTCTCTTCCTCTTTTCCTTCTGGAATTCTCATAATGCAAATATTGTTTCTTTTCATTCACTCATTTTTTATTTTTTTCTTTTTGCTCCTCTGACTGGGTAATTTCCAATGCCTTATCCTCCAGGTTGCTGATCCTTTCTTCTGCAGGGTTGTCTACTTTTGAAACTCTCTATTGAATTCTTCAGTTCAGTTATTGTATTTTTTAAATCTAGAGTTTCTGTGGAGGTTTTTTTTTTTTTTTTGATGGTTGCTATTTCCTTGTTGAGTTACTCATTTGTTCATGCATTATTTTTCTGATTTTACTCAGTTGTCTGAGCAAATCTGAGTTGTCTGAGTGTAGTTTGTTAAACTTCCTTAAGAGGATTATTCTGAATTCTTTGTGACAAGACATAGGTCGCCATTTCTTTGGGGTCTATTATTGGAGCTTTATTAGTTTCTTTTGGTGGTGTCAAATTTACCTGATTTTCTGTGATCCTTAATTTCTTACATATCTGCATTTTGAGTAATTGGGCTCCCTCTCCAGACTTTACAGGTTAGCTTTGGCAGACACAGATCTTTGCCAGTCAGATCAGTTTGTGTTTCTAGATGTCTCCTAGTAATGTCCCTGGGGGGTAGGCGACGTGTGATATCATGGTGTGTTTTTGGGTGAGGCAACTGTTTGAGCTCTTTGGTCAGAGATTGTGGGGTGTGCCACTGGCTGAGCACAATTGGATGGGACTGCAGGCTTGGCCTCCTACCCAAGTGAGGCTAGAGGATGAGCTGTGCAGTTGCCTGGATTCTCTGGTCTGGCTTACTAGATGGTGGGACTGGGTACTATGTTCAGTACTAGATGGGCTATTAAATACCTTTTATGCCCTTGCAGGGCAACAGGACAGGACCTGGGCCTGTATAGCTCATTTTGCGGGGATCCAAATCAGGGCAGAGCATGCACTGAAGTCCTTAGTCAGGTGAGGCTAACGGTTTGGCTCTGCAGATGGGGGAAGCTACTGGATGCTCTATCTGGTCAAGTGCCACTTTAAGTAGGGCTGTTGAAGGGGCTATGCAGCTTCCTATGAGCTCTGGTTAGGTTCTCTGATGGGACAGTCTGAAGGATGTATTCAACGATGGGCAGGGCTATGAATTAGATTCCCTCCCTGGGCACAGAGGGAGAAGCAGCTCTAAGGCTAGTAGAGCTCTTTCTTGTCTTAACTCAAGCTGACCTGCACCCCAAGTTCCCTGACCAAAGAGGGCCATTGGCTTTGCACTGCAAACTGTTGGCTCTGCCCACCCACCTCTCAGCTTGAGTGCCACTGGGCCACACAGCTTCTGGAAGTTGCCACCAGCCCTTGTGGTCAGATGGAACCAAAAACACTCGCAACATTGGGTAGGGCTATGTCACTGCTCCTTGGCCTGGGTGCAAAGGGGTGAGGCTCCTCCAGGCTACTCTCAATTCCCCAAACAAGTTCCCCAGTTGGGAGGGGCCAGGAGCTACCCTCAGCCTTGGCTATGAATTAATTCCCCTGTCTGTGCTACCACAGGAATGTTCCATGCCCAGTACTGGCTTTGTTCTGGGGGTGATCAGCTCTGCCACCTGCCTCTCAGTTTGAGCCCCACAGGGCTGCATTGCTTCCAGGAGGTGTTCCCTGCCTTTCTGGTTAGATGGGTCTGGAAGATATTCTCCACAGCGGGTGGGGCTATCACTCAGTTCCTTGCCTGGGAGTGGGAAAACCGGGCTCTAGGGCCAGTAAAACTCCTCCTTTGAGGATCTGAATCAGGCATATCTGCATGCCGCCCAGTTTCCTGGTCAGAGCACTCCCCTAATTTGGTTCTGCAGATGAGCAAAGCCACTAGTTGGGATCACTACTTGGGTGCTGCAGGTATGAACTCAGTCAGCCAAGATCCATGTACTGGTCATTCCAAGTCCTTTCCCCCTTCTCTGTCACAGTCAGATTCCCAGTGGTTGAGCCACACAGATTCCCCTACAATCCCTATGGTGTGAAATCAGAGTAGGGACTTCCCCAAAGGGACCCACAATGCTCGGGGGGGAGGTGTTGTATCCCCCCGGGTTCTTTCCCCGCTGGAGTAACTGGAGGCTCAGGGGGGACCTCGTCACATCGTACTGCCCTGGCCTGGGGTAGGAATAAGGCAATTAGCACGTAGCCACTTTTCTTACCCTTCTAATGCAGTATCTTGGCCTCTGTGGTGCAGGAGGTGCTTCAGCCTCACCCTGTGTTCTAAGGATTCTCTCAGTAGTGTCTTATTCTTGAATAGTTGTTAGGTTGTTCTGACTTTGCTCCCCCTCACAAGAACTATGCTGCTATCTTGGTGACGTCACTCCCCAGAACTGCTCTCCTACAATCAAACTTATTACATTTGAATATTTACTTCGTGCCAGTACATAATGGAAATTATCACTTGAAAGCCATTGATAGCTATTCGGCCTGGTAATAGAGCTCTTGAAACTTAGAACCCTAAAAAGCATTACATAATTCTAGGTTGGGACATTCTTGCCCTGAGGGAATTTTCTAGTACCATTCACCGTGGCACATCACTTAAACTTATACAAAACCTGCACCTTTAATATGCTGGTAAGAGAGTTTTTAGGTAGGATTTCGTATTTAACAATAAATGTGTGCCTCAGAAAAACAGGGTTTTTCCACTTTTGAGCTCCATTTAAACTGAATCATTATTATATCAAGTCACTCTTGAATGAGGTAGAAGCATGCTTTCAGCTATAAGGAATGGGTAAACATTTTATTTTAAACTGATCATATACTTTTACTATCACAAACTAAATGGGCCTCACTCAGCAACCGCTTCTCTTATTATATATACTTCCAAGAAAAAAGAAGACCTAAAATTATTTACTATCAAATGCATATCCTAATTTTTGGCAGTAGTCCTCCAATGTTAATTGGCTCATATTCACTATCTCTGTAATTTAATTACTTAATGGTAGATTCTGCTTACTAACTGAACTTGGAGGGTTCGCTAAGAAAGTATATTGCTTAACACTAAACAGACCATAGGTGCATTATTGAAATGAGTGATTGAAAATCCTGGTATGATATTTTTCCATGCTAAGATCAATATATATATAAGGCTAGATATGCTTTTTGAGAGAATTCTTGGCTCTTCCCCTAAAGACTACTGCTTCACCCTACTCAGACATGAAGATGAGGTGGCCATCCACCATATTTATCAGCACATAAGATATATAATACATAGTGAACTTTACAACTTTACGATGACAATTTTTTCGGAAAAAGAAATTAAGAAATTTTCATCACACATGATTTATAGGCATCTCTAAAAGTTGTTTTAAATACAGAAAACCATTTTTGTTTACATAAGAATATATCGGAGTTAAAACGAGATAATGAGAACTTCCTTCTATCTTGCAAACTTGTGAGTTGGTCACAGTAGAGGCACTGGATGCAGAACAGTTTTTGTGTGTGTTTAGGTATGAGACCTGGGTGCCTTGATTTTACAAAAAGGTGTGAACCCTCCCGTTTGTCAGAGTATATGAAGCTGTCCAAATACATAATACCAAATACTGGTGTTTAGCAACATTTTGGTTCTTGCCAGTGAACAGAATCACAATGCTGCATTGCTGCATGTCATCTTTAGTCAAAAGTTTGATTAAGAGAAATAGTCACAGAGAATTGCCTAAAGGATATGTTGTCTACTCATTCCTTTCAACTTTAACTTTGATTATTATATCTTTCTAGACCACAAGTGAGAATAACTGCTTGGACCATGCTCTCAGCTCCTTGGTAACCAGCATTTCCTATCGTATAACCTACCTCTGGGCCCCCAGTGAAAGTACTTGAGCAGGAAAGTGTTCAAAACTTGCTATATTTGTATAGCCTGAATGTTTTGAGAGTTTTTAAGTTTCTGAATACATAACTCCAACTTCCTAGAAGAATTTCATCTCAGGCTTTAGTACTAGGAATAATCGTGTTTCTCCCAATTTTTTCAAAAGAAAGAAAGAAAAATGTTGTGGAGTAGGCTGTATCTGAGGAGATATTCCTCTTTGCTATTGGTAGGTTGGAAGCGGTAATCCAGATCTGGGCACTCCTCTAGCAAGTAGGCAGGACCTCATGGTGCATTTCTGTGTCCTAGCTTTAGCTCTGCATTCATCTTGTTAACAAATTCTTATTGTTCCTTCATGCTAATTGCTTTATGTATTTTTAAATCTTTATCGTATTATATGAATGTATGTAAGTGCCCTCAAACACGATTGGAAAAGACATGAGAATATGGGCGTAAAGTAAATATAGGTATTAAATGATATTTATTACTATGTTGCAAATTAAGGGTTCTCCGTTTATTCACGTACGCTTTACTCTCTGAGTAGAAGATGAGGGTCTTGTCTTATACTGTTTTTGCCCACAAGCTGTACAGAAGGGAGTTAAGGACATGCTCTGGATGTCAGGAAGCCAGGGCCCTGGGAGTCCAGCTCTGCAAGGAGCTCTATGAAGGGCCCCGACAAGTCACTTCACCACTCCAGCCTCAGCGCCCACAGGGTGGTTGGCAGGAATTATTCTGTGTTGTCCCCTGCAGCCCTCCGGTTTTAATTCAAAGACAGTCTGTCTATGTGAAGTGTGAATGTTTGTCTTTCATTCTCTCCTCAAGCTAATTCTAGTTATTCGTCAAACCTGATTCTCTGTGACTGGATAGATGCCTTATTCTTCCTCTGGAGCACTTTCACTAGTTAATTCTCACTAGGCATTTTATGACAGTGCTAAATATCACAGCAGCAATGCAGATAATACCTAAAGGAGGAACAAAGCAATGTGACACGATCTCTTTGTGCAATACACTTTTATTTTCCTTTTACCTTTGCAGTCATCTTTGAGTAATCGTTGTGTAAACAATAGAATGGAATGAAATTACATTAAATTGTATGCAAATGGCTCTAGAACACCTTAACAATTATGACAAGGCAATTATAAATAACTTTTTTTTCCTTAGTAATATATATTTGCTTTTTAAAGTACATTAAAGAGCTGCCATATCTAGGGTTAGCTAGGAAAGAGCAAATGGTACCATCCCGGGAGCCCACCTCCCTGAAAGTTTAGACCCCAATTTTGAAATCCTAAGGTTTACTATTCCATAATATATAGTCAAGCAGAGAGCTACTTGGGTTGAAAGTATTTATTCTTGAAACTTAACAGCGTTTTACCTTTTAGTCATTGCACAAAACCCTTTCTATTATTTTTTTACTCCATCTGGGTATTCTGCAGAATTTCAAGTAAAACTCAGATTCTGGTATTTTCAAGTTTATCACCTTTGGAACAACAAATCCTATCACTTAAGGAGAAGTCAAATCAGAGATGGGTACATAATCAGCAATCTAAAGAATGGCAACATTTTATATAGCATTCTAAACGTTCCAATGAAGCAAAACTTACATATGCCACTTTAAGTAGAGGAAATTTTAGATCTGAGACTATTCCAGAGTAAAGCAGCCTCAGACACATTCTTAATATGAAAGTTTGCAAGGCACCTCCCTCTCCCAAGAGACAATCAGATTGTGGATTGGTTTTTAGGCAAACAAACCCAAAGAATAAGCATCCTAGTTCCTAATTCAGTCATTTCAAAAATCAGAAGTTATAAATACTCCAAAGATAGACCTGAAACTTTTTGTTTAAATAACAAGAGATTAACTGCAAGAAGCATATAATCAAAAATGTTTTTTTCCTCATAGCTAAGGTGTGTAATGCATAAATATATGAAAAATAAAATTCACAGTTTTAAAACTAGAATTCAAGTTTGGCTAATAAATCTTAATTTTATAAGTATATTAATTTCTAAATACAACATAAGAGGCAGTATTGTCAGATGTACAATTAAAGAATTATAACAGAAAGAACAATGAAAGAAGAAATAGGCTTCTGATAGAAAAAATTCCTTTTGTTGCCAATAAATAGGACCACCTGAGTGTATTTCAGATTCTTTTCACTTAAGGGATATCCGAATTGATTGCTAGGAATATTAAACAGCTTTTGGAAAAATTAGCAACAGTCGTGCAGCTGTGGCATTTGCTTGTTCTCATACTGTGGATTGCTAGAGAATAAAGCAGAACTCGGAGTGTTGTAAGTTTTAAAAAAATTCATTTTTATCCCATTTTGTCGAAGTCGGCCTCTTCACAATCTTCTGATTTTGCTGGGAACTGGGAGTGAGGGGGTGGGAGGAAGTGGAGAGGGAAGGGTTGAGGGGAGTGTGGTGAGGGAGGCATGACAGATCAGGGCGAGGTCAAGGGACATACATCAGCTGACACTCAACTGAGCAAACCCGATCAGCTTCACTTCATCGGGAATCTCTGCTCCATCACAGCCAGAGGCCTGAGAAGGGAAAAAGAAACCTTCAGTGCTGGTTTGTCGCTGCCGGTTTTTACAGATGTGTCCACGTGATGGCTGATCCAAGCAAGGGCACAGTCTGTATAAGGCCATGTGTCCCATCTCTCCCAGGAGAGATCCCAACAGTCACTCTCTTGAATAACTTCTAGGTGCTAAATGCTCTAGGAACTCTGGTCACCATGCCGCCAAGTACAGAAAATAAGGGAGACAGGATTTGTCACCCATTAAAACACCACCGTGCCCAGGCTCGCAGCTTTGGAACTGCCAATGAACCCCATGACTGGCAGGATACCACATACAAATTTTCAACAACTAAAGTGATTTTAAATATACTGTATAATTAGAGCTCCTTAATAATAATTTTTACAAGAATATTATGAAAATGAGCAGAAGAGATCAAACAGGTCACTCAGGGGTAATTCTGTTTTTACCAAAATCATCTCCTCTGTAAAACTGGCCAGAAAAAAAAGTGGTCCCAAGTAGTGGCATGGCTCATGTAGACAACTGTTATTTAAATACCTGTGAGTAATTTTTACAGGGAAAGGTACCCTAATAGATTTTTTTTCATAGGAGAATTTTGCTGGTAATAATTTGACGTTTATTGCCTAAAACTGGCCCAAATTATAGTATGCCAAATACTTTATTATTTTTAAATCAAAAGGAACTGGAAATAAGCCACTGCCCATCAAACCTCTCACTGGTCCTAATTCATAAGTTATTTTTATTTTCTTTCTCACTTTTCTCCCTTTCCTGCACACACACACATTACTCAGATCTAAGCTGTCTCTTCTCTCTATAGCACATAAGTCAGAATTGGACATTATGTAAGTGCCACAAATGGGGAGAAAAAAGTTTGATGAACAGGAATAGGCAATTAATTACCAAAAGGCCACACAAACCTTTTCTTGGCCTAATTCCTGCTAAATTATTGTCAAAACAATTAGTTTCCCAGGGAAAAAGCTCTTTGCAATCATCACAATGAACCTGCTTAGCATGCTTCAAAAACACAGTCCATAAACTCGGCCCTTTGTCCACCCCAGCAAGCTCATTTAAAGTAAGAAGCTAATTAGAGCATAACTTGAATATTTTTAAATAATTATCTTTAACATAACACTTAGTGTGAGTAGTTATGCTTATATAAGAAAATCTGCAGCCTAAAAGAGCAGAAATATTAGTTAACATTTAAAGAATTTACTTTGTGCCTGTCTAAAGATTTCTTAGTTTTACTTGACAGATAAGATATTCAGTAAAGTAAAATTTTCCTTGTTTGCACTGCTAGGGGCAGTAAGATCAGAAACGCTCCTTTCTTTATCGCTTTTATCAAAGTACTACAGGCATAGAAGGCTTTTCAGCTGAGATTTTTTTTTCGTGTTTGTCATAGTGACACTGTAATGTTCACCTCCCCTACCAATTTTCTCGTTCTCCTACCACTGTTTCTTTATCTATCTGCCTAAACCTTCCCATCTTCTCTCCTTGTAGCTATTGCTAACGTCATTTACTCACCCACTGAATGGGGGCAGAGTCAATTTGTGTAATTAACAGACAACTGACAAATATCTGAGGACAAACTATTGCTGCTGGTGGTGACAAAAAGGTCAGACTGGCAAGTTTGAAGCACATCGATGCATTTGAAAGCTACAGCAGAAATTCGCAATGTGAAAACAGCAGGAAGTTAAAGTGACTAGGAATAAAATATCCAATCATCGTTAAACAGACTAGAAACAAAATGAAAATATTAAATCCTTCTTGTGAAGAGTAATGGAAGTGAGAGTTTACAATGAGACTGGGTGATCAAGCCCGTGGTTATTGTGAGTACATCACACAGGGAGGCTTCAGGGAGACCACTCTATGGCCCCACTGCCTCATGCTGCTACACTGGAATGTCTTGTTTCCTGGGAAAGAGGCACAGGCCAGGGTGTCTGGCTTTCCTTCAAGGCACTCAGCCCTCCCTTCCCCACTACCTCACTAGCTCTCTTTTAACCAAGGCTGAGTCCTTGGTCTCTCTCATTGTAGCCTGCAAAACACTGAGGGCAATATGCAAATGATCCTGAAATCTAGAGAAAGGGACCACGGACCCTTAAAGTAGCAGTTCTCAAACTTTTTGGTCTCAGGATCCCTTTACGCTCTTGATCAAGGACTCCAGAAGCTTATGTTCAGTGTACTGATTGTCTCAGAAATTAAAACTGAGAAATTTAACAACTATTTAAACATCATTTTTAATGTTAAAGTATTATTACAGTAATACAGTAAATATTGTATTTAAAAATGTAAAACATGTTTATGTAGGCTATATTGACTGTCTTAGAAATTAAAACAGAAATTTCTAAAATATTCACTTACTAATTCATTAAACATAACAATAAACCCATTACATAACATAAATAAAATATTCATGAAAAATAACCATAGTTTCCCAAAACAAAATAAAAATTTGAGAAGACTGGCATTGCTTTACATTTTTGCAAATATCTTTACTGTCTTATTTAATGGAAGATGGCTGGATTCTCAGACCTGCTTCTGCACTGTCTATTGCTTTATGTTGTTCTCCTTGAAGAACAGAAAGAAAATCCAGCCTCTCCCAAACATGTACAGTCATGCATTGCTTAATGATGGGGATAAGCTCTGAGAAATGCGTTGTCAGGTGATTTCATCGTGTGGACATCATAGAGTGTACTTACACAAACCTAGATGGTATAGCCTACTACACACCTAGGCTATATGGTGCTAATCTTATGGAGCCACCATTGTATACACGGTCCATCATTGACTGAAATGTTGTTATGTGGTGCATGACTGTAGCTGGAAAGGGGAAGAGTATTTTAATAGCCTTTTAGATAACTGTGGCTATCATTTGTTACTATGCCAAAACTTGTCAAGTGGTAGTTTCTTGAAGCTTACTTGCAATGTGGAATTGAACTTTTCATACTCTGTTAAATAAAAATCCATTGGGCTCTACCTTGTACTTTGAATGGATCTTTTACCCATGTATGATGTTTCAGTATCACTGAATTATGCAGATCTTCCAAACATTGACATATTTCATTACACAATATCAATGTTTCATTACAAAATGTCAGCAAATCATATTTATTAATATTACCTATCACCAATCTCATCAGAAAAGTCTTTAAGTTTGAGGATCTGTCAAGCTTACAGTGGCAGATATGAATTTTGGAAAACTCATTTTTGCTTGAAAGTTGAAATTTATTATTGACAACAAATATTGTCAGTTGTTTTCCTTGAAGTGTCAGGCTCACTTGGTTCATTTTGAAAAAAAATGCCTGCCAAATCCCTACCCTGAATAACCATAGTTTATTGGTTATTCTTTCAGGTGAAAATGGTATTCCATGAAAAGAAAGAAAATGGCTAGTTCAGTATACAATTGAAACAGTCTCACAATGCTTTTCTAGGAGACAACCACTGTACTCCAGTCTAGTGCAGGAGTGCTTCCCATTTCATCATACGGAGTATTACAAAGATGTGTCATCAAGTGGAGATTTGATAAACGATTCTTGCCTTATCAGGAAAATTCTTGAGTGAAACTGGCTTTTTCTTATTTTAATTTTTTACAGTGACTGGGTGAGGGCTTTGCAGAACATGATGGCTACTAGTACAGTGTGATGCTCCTGCCGTGATTTGTGCCCACATAGGCAGTTTTCACCACCATGGCTTTTACACCAATGTCAACACAATGGAAAAGGTCAAGTAATATCTCTGTATTATAATGAAAAGAGTTTTGGCATCCAGGACCCCCTAAAAGGGTCTCAAGGAATCCCAGAAATCCAAGACCCATACTTTGTGAACCTTGGCTTCAAAGTAAAATGTACACATTATCAGGAACTTCGCATGACAGTGTAACACCAGGACTGCTCTCACTCAAGTGTCGGTACTCTGATTCCTGGAAACCCCCACCTCCCACCCCTCCTGCCAGACCAGCAGACGTGGCCTGCACCCTGTGGAGGAGCTGAAGATGTGGTTGTCCAGCATCAATCACCAGGATTCTCCACCACAAACCTGGGTGCACTTTGGAACTACCCAGAAAGTTTGAAAACATACCGATGCCCGTGTCCACCCCAGAGGTTGTGACTGAATTGTTCTGGGGTATGGCCTGGGCACAGGGATTTTTTGAGCCTCCCAGGTGATATAAAGCCTAGTGCTTCTTCCCAAAGTGTGAACCTCCAAGTTTCTTTTAGAGCAATGATTCTCAGACTTTAGCCTGCATCAGAATCACCTGGAGAGCTTGTAAAAACACAGATTCCTGTGTGCTCCCCTCCCCAGAGGCTAATTCCCTAGGCTTGGGATGGGGCCCCAGAATTTACATTTTTATACAGTTTCTAGCTTCCAGGTGAAGATGACACTGTAGGTGTGGGGACCACACCTGGAGAACCACTGTTTCAGACTGGAGCAGGAGGCTCAGAGCTGCTACCTGGACCTTGAACTGACAGTTTCCTTTAAGATCTTTGTCTCATCTTTCTCTCCTGTCAACAGGGGAAGAAAGTTAATACTCTTGGGAAGTTTTTATCTCATTTCAGTGCTCTCTTTACCTGAACTTTGGGAAATGTCACATTAGTCATGCAGCCTCCAACTATGCCTAAGCTGAAAGCTTCTAAAACTAAGGCTCTTTCGTCATTAATCGCCGAAATGCTTATGAAATTGCTATCTGCAATGCATGTTATTAAACTTCCGTAACTAAAATCTATAATGCTCATGTAAATGTGTACCAATTGGATGTTAATTACATGTACTTACAATTCTATCTTCAAGGGCAAATTAAATATCTTATTTCATATTTTCACTAAGGCAATTTCAAAAATTCTACGTTGAAAGCAGCAAAACTCACTTACTTTACAAAACTGCAAGGCAGCAAATTAAAAACTGACTTAAAGAATATTTATGAAGACTTGCCTCAAGGCTTATAACAAGGACACAATAATACAGTACTGATATACCTAACCCAAGGCACATAATACTTGAGCTGAAATGCCCTCTATGCCTAAACCACTTTGTTAAAAAGTAATAAGAAAGAAGGTTTCTGATCTCGCCGCCCCTGGCTGTGCCAACCACGGAAATCATACTTCACTTATTATCTTACCGTCAAATGAAGCTAAAGATCTCATTGCACAGAGAAAAAAGTAAATGCACTTCTTTATACAACCAATATCCTTGCTCCTTGGGCCACTGTTTTTCTTATATTAGCAGATACACAAGATAAAAAGAGACACCTTTTCAAACCTGAGCCAAATATTTCTAACGGTGGTGGGAGCAGGGAGAGGAAAGAGATTGGAAAATGAGTCAGCTTCCCAGCCTTGGTTAAACCCTGGAATTACCAGCGGGTGCTTTCAAGATCCCCAAAGCCCAGGCTGCACCAACAGAAATTAAATTAGGATATTTGGTGTGAGACCTAGGCATTAGTAATTTTCTAAAGAGTCTCCACCATTCCTTGAGTAAAACTATTGTGCAGTAAGGTGAAAAACCACAGTATCAAGATTTCTCATTTACATAATTTTCAGGCACATGACAGTCTCCTCTGGAAAGTAAAGAAAGCTCTGAGATTAAAATGATAAAAGCTGAGGGGCCAGCCTGGTGGCAGAGACCCGGGGTTTGCTGGGTTGGATCTCAGGCCTGGACTTACACACTGCTCATGAAGCCATGCTGTGACGGTGTCCCACATACAAAATAGACAAAGTTTGCCACAGATGTTAGCTCAGTCACAATCTTCCTCAAGCAAAAAGGGGAAGATTGGCAACAGACGTTAGCTCAGGGCCAATCTTCCTCAAACACACACACACACACACACACACACATAGACACAAGATAAAAGCTCAGAAATAAAAGGACCATGAGCACCAGTAGCTTATGAGGAAAAATGCTTCTGAAATACTTTGATCTTTTATTCTTCAATAAAATAACCAAACTGATGAATGAAGGCAAACTTATTTGAATCTCTGTGGTTTCCCCAGGTTGTTGGTGTGCTACAAAAGACGAGGCCAAAATTCAGTTCAAGTTAGCTCTGTCAAGTGGACCTCAAACTGGCTGGCAACTGATAACAAATAAACCCTCTCAGGTTTTAACTAGGGCTGGACAGAGAGTTAAGTGACAGAAATAGAAGGTTACTCCTGAGTTTGGCTTTATTTAACACCTTTAACTATCTTTTAGGAAAAAGCCATCAATTTCTATTTACTTAACACCCTATTACTACATTCTCAAGCTATAAGGGGAAGGGAAAACGTGTGTGGCTTCTCCTGTGAGACAGGCCAATATTACTCAATCTGCTTGAGCTACAAAGGAGATTTGGTCTTAACTAGCGTAAATGTATCCAGTCATCCAAAAGGTTGAATCCACAAAGAAACCGAAAATTGTAAAACTATAAGGCTGCAGGGTCCTGCCTCTAAGAATAAGTAGTTGTTGAGAGTATGGGCTGAGGTGCTAGACCAGAGTTGAAATCTCAGCTTTTGCACCCTAGGATCCTGGGCAAGTTAACCCCACAGAGCCTCTGATTCCAAAGATGTAAAATGGACCTAAAGATATCATCATCTCGTGGGATCAGGAGGACTAAACGAACTGAGATGAAGATTGTACAACACCTCGTGCGCTGTCTGGCAAACAGTGGATGCACGACAAAGACTGATTCTTGTTATTTCTGCAGGCAAGGCCAAGGAATTTTAAGAGATTCTGTAAACAGAGGGCATGAAGCAGAAGTCACAATCCTAATTATTTTACAGAGATTTTAAAATGTAAAGGAAAAATAAATAATGATGGCTGAAGTTTTTCTAAATGACTTTTGTGTTATTCTGATATCTATTAGTTATGATCAAGTCCCTGTGGCAGCCACTGTGCCAGGCACTGGGCGATCCAAGACAGAAGTCTCTGCCCACTTAGAGCCTCTAGACTTATTTGAGATATGAGTAAGATTCCACACAATTTCAATATACTACAACCCTGGTGGGGGAGGATACAGGAGGAGCACCTGAGTCAGGATTGTGTGTCAGAGAAAGCTTCTTGGAGAAAGTAAAATTTAAGCAGAAAATTGGAATATGTGTAGGTAGGTGTTGGTGAGACAGAGAGGAGGCCTGGAGAAGCTGGGAGAGAAGGATATTTTAGAAAGTACATACAAAGGGTCGGCACATGAAAACAGGAGGAGACAGAGAACCAGAGAGAGAGAGAGAATGAATGTGAGGGGAGATAGAGGTAAGGCAGGAGACCGAAAGGGAGGTCTGATCAGGAAGGGCTTCCTTAGCTATGCACAGGGGCTTGAGTTTAAAGAACAGTGGAGAACTATTCGAGTATTGGAGCATTTTGGAATTAAGGAAGAATTACTCCTGCTCTAGCTTCAGTGTGGTAAACAGAACTGGAGGCTGGAAAATTGTAGCCAGGAAGATCAGTTTCAGAAGATACAAGAGGATCTCACTAGTGTGCTGGAAATGGGGATGAAGAGAAGAGGACAGAATCAAGAAAGAGAATCCAGGGAACTAACAAATTGCTCAAGGCAGGAGATGAGGGGGAGTTCCACATCATTCCTACTGTCTCTCTGGAGACAGTATGGTAGGTGCTTTTACAAAACCTTCTGAGGAGTAGGAAAGGGCCAGGGCTGCTGTTCCTGTTTCCTAAGCAAGCAAGTTTAGAACTGGGAATAAGCCAGTATGAAAGTTTTAATCTCTTATCTTTTCTTTTTGCATATTCAAAATTAGGAAAATGCTCTTGAGGTGATATGTTGTAACTTCTTTTTTATGGTATAAAAAAAATGAATAGAGAAACATTAACATTGGCTTGAAATACTGACACAGGGTGCCATTTTCTCATCAATATATTCTCATATAAATGGAATATATTTATAAAGATGTAGGTTAATTAGAAACATAACAGAGATGACAGAAGAGTCCCAAGCCAGAAGATGAATTTTCCAATTTGTTAATTTATCACTCTATGACTGAATAAAACGTTCTGTTATCAAAACAAAATGAATGTCTTCAGATAAATTGTTTTTGTGAAAATCTCTGTGTTTTTCTTTTATCATACGGCCTAGCCATCTGAAATTGAATGAGAAGCAAAACCCAGAAAGTTAATTAGCACGAGGCTAACATTTACTGTAACTAATCATTTAGCGTTTTTGGCCATACACATTTTCCATTAAATTTTTACAAGAAATAAAAAAGACAGATCATCAATATATGTTGTGCACAGCAAAGTTTTGGTCATCTTGATTGTAAATTGCTTGCAGCATTCTGACTTGCATTTGCAAAGATTAATTTATAATTTTAAAATGAGTCACTTAATGTACTATTTGCTAAAACTTTCAAGAAAATAGTCACTTTCAACTGTCTGGACTTCTCTCCATTTCCGGCCATGATCACCATCTCTTGGTTTCACAATGACCTCAAAATGCTCAGTATTCTGTATATCTGTGGCCACCCTAGTTCTTAAATTTAAAATCCACTAGTGCAGAAGAACTGCTGGAACATCTCCCCTCCACGGGAATCTGTTACTGTGATTTGAAATGCGGAGTTAAAATGTTACGTCTTTGTTCACCAGCCTTCAGTGAGTAGTTCTACAATTGCTTCCAATTACCTAAACCATTTCTGCAACAATCAGCCTCAATTTTTAAAAGTTAGAGCCACTTGACTTTCGCTTCAGGAAAGCTTTATTAAGAGTGTTGCTTGGAAGTCAGGTTAATTTTGTCTATATGGTCGAGTTGCCATACAAACTAGAAACAAAATGGTACAGGCTTCAAGATTTCTCAAATGGCCACTCTTAGTTAAAGACGTGATGGTAAAAGAACAAGTTATGTTCATGGAAGAGGAAATTTCCGTTTGCGATCAGAAAATGTTCCCAAATGTTGAAGCGGCAAATGATGAACGCAAAAATGGATCCCAAAAGAAAATAACAACAAAATTACAGAGTAGCTTATTAAAACTATATTATTATTCCTTGCTGGCACAGCATGCAAAATATGTACCTTCTTTCTATAACTTTTCACTTACCAACTTAAATGTCAATGTTTTTAAAGCTTTGGGATCATCTACAATCTTCTGTAAATTAGCAGCCACTGTAAAATACAAACATGGAGAAAAAGTGTCCAAATTATTTCCAATAACACTGGATTTTCACATCAATGATTTAGAAAATTTGACTAATGATGCTATAAGCTGCAAAATCATTTCTTTCACGGATATTACAATGTCCATATAAATGACCAAATTACTCTCATACCAACAATTTCTACAACAACTTATGTCTTAAGCACATCTGAATTAATCACTACGCGTTGAATCCCACATTTCAGAAAATATAACGAGAAGTTACTTTCTCATGGAAAGTAGAAATGATAGCAGCCCCCAGTGTTTCTACCACTTGGTTTCTCTCAACACTCATTACTAAGAAATTTATTAGCCAGGAGAGGGCAGTACAAAACAAAGAGGAGAGGTATTGCAAAGAACGGTTTCTCTGGCAAAAAGAGGTCAGCACATTTGAACTCCTGTCCTATAAATTCACTCAATTCTCTGCACCCATTTTTATCACAGCAACAAAATACAGTGGATAACCTCTACAACTCGGGCATATGTTCTATGCTTTCAGAGCACAATGATCTGTCAAACCAGTGAAGTGCCACAGTGAGCAATACCAAAGTCAGCTGAACAGGGTCGAGGACTAGAGGCTGTCACTTTGGAGCTCAATTGTGAAGACATGTTTTCTGTATTAGCCAGATTCATCAGGGACTGAAGGATCATCTCCTTGGTGCCATGACATATTTGATGCTCTAGTAGAGAAGTCGGCTCTCCCTGCTTACTGCTTTGGCTTAGGGTACTGTTTATGAACAGAATTATCAAAAGGTGATGATGGAAGTTTAAAACCTTGCTCTTTCCATCCCCAAACCTAAAGTACAAAGTACTGAAAGTCAAGTAAGTGCTCTCGATCAGGGAAGGAGAAGTTATCACTATTGAAGAAATTAGGGGAGACAGTCCATTCATCATTTTTATTTTTCATGAGGAAAACTGCTGCTTCAGTAATTAGGTATCTGAAAAGTTATCTGAATATTTTAAGATTAAAAAAAACTAAGATAAAATAGTAAACATAAGTCTTCGGAGAAAAGTGTTTCAAGTGGAAAGTTTGTGAGTAGAGAGTAGAAAGAAATCTGTGCCAATTTTATATTTCCCTAAGGTTGACTGAAAACAACCTAGATACATGGATTTTCTGCAGATTACTTTATTTCATTGAATCCATCAGCTGCAGAGGAGAAAAAAAGTGAAAATTATATACTCAGTATGGCCTATTTCTCTTTATAAACCATAATTACAGGCATCATTTTATCTTCATCTGTTGCCCTCTTAATACTTCCATTCTGAGCAAACTGCAAAGTTGCATTTATGGTAACACCCTTCTCTCCCTTCATCTTTTTCTGCTCTTTCGTTTGCACATAGAAGCAAACTTACACATCCATCACTTACATCCTGGGCCACCAACTCAGCCTGGTTATCACTGCCAACTTCTTTTGGCCTCCGTAACAGTTTCCTGAACATATTTCAGATATTAAAATCATCTAGTAATCTGTGCAGGAAACATTGGCTCATGGAGTAAAAAGCTCTGTTAGAATATTCTGTCCACCAAAGCCAGTATTTACTGTCAGGGCATTCTGACTACATGCAAATTGCTGCAAGTGAACACAGCCACCATTTTCTTAAAACATAGAAGTGTTCTGATAGTTCCTCTGATTTGGGTTTATTTCATGAGTGGCCATAAAGTCTGCCCACAAATTTCAGTCCTTTCATTAGAGACTCTCAGTTCATGCGGATGATTTATTGCCTTGTTCTGGGTCATCTATTTCCAGGCTGCTCTCTAATGCTCAGCCAAAAGCAGAGCTCTGTCCTACACTAATTCACAGCCCTCTCTCTGGAGTACACACATATGTGCTAGGGCCAATTTCCAAGGAACACGGCTAAGCAAGTTGTAGACTGAAGGGCAAGACTGAGCTGCTAGCATCTTAAACAATCATCCCAGAAATCTCGCTCCCCAATTGTGAATCCTACACCTCAGGGACATTAGAAATTCAAATTCTGTCTTCAGCTCAAAGCAAAAATAGCAAAACTGGCCACTTACCTGATTACTTATCCCAGCTGCTAGGCTTATTTTCAATTTAGTTGATTCTAATTTGTTGTAAAGTGGTATAAAATACCATCATTTAACTGACATCACACAAAATTCAGGGTGATGCTAATTTCTCTTCCTGTATCAATGCTCATTAAAAAGATGGGTGTCACTGTTTTCTCCCTTCTCCTGACTGTGCACCTGGATTTCAAAAATAAAAATGCTCCTTACCTGGAACATGAGCTGAGAAGGAAGGGCTGGGTAGGGCTGCTTGTTACTATAGAACTTCTCAAGTATGTGCTGTTAACAGCGAACTTCATGTTTTAAGGTACTCTAGTTTCCAAAAGCTATGGGGTTTCCGAAGCCTGCTTAGTCAGTGGCCATCAACTCATTTCCAATCCCTCCCGCTTTCCCAAATAAAATTCATTTGCCTGATTTCTCATTTCTGATGCAGATTCTAGTAAAGTTATCTTCCTTGAGCTCGCCCCTACTCTCCTTCTCAGCCCACTATCTTCAGTCATGTGTGCTTTCTTTCTCTCTTGGCCGCACAGGACACATAATATACTCCCTGAGGCCCCCAAGATGGTGGCCCCCTTGCCCTACTTCCAGGGCTACACGATACCTTTGTGTGAGCAATCTATTTCTTGCTATTTTTGTGTCCCTGTGTCACACTTTTCAGCTTAAATCCCTGTCAGGGCTAAAAGTTTCTATTGGTTCTTGTGGATAACTTTCAGCCTAAGGTACGGTAAGTGCTTTATGAAGACATAATAATATCATTAACAACCACGTGAAAAAGATGCCAAGCTCAATGCCACCCTGAATCTAAACAGAGAAGGAAAGAAGATTGTCCTGGGGGTAATCTGTCAGAGGCAAGGCAGCAGAGCCAACATTTCTTTGGTAATCTAAGTTGGGCAGTCTCCAGACACGGTTTTCTCTATAAACTCCTTGCACTACTCAAATTCTCCACGTTTTGACAGTTAAAAGAGTAACCGTTATATAACGACTATTTACAGTCTGTGTTTATATTCCGAGTGATTAGTCGAAAGATATACTTTTCTCCCCGGATACCAGCATATTTCACAACAATCTCACATGGTACCGATGTTCTGCTGGCGGTGAGTTAATTTATTTAATTCGAGCTATTCCCAACAAAAGCTGTGGAGAAAAGCACACGAAGTCTGAAAGAGACTGCAGAGACTGTGGCTTTCTTTCCCCTAGAAAGAAATTCTGAGATAGGACAGAAGCGTAGACTTGGGTTACCCAACAAGATGATGATGGTACAATATTGTTTCCTCCACAGACACGCCCTGAGCAGCTGCTCTGTACACTGCATTGAGGCACACAGGCAGCATGAGATTGCAAAGAAAGAGAGGGATGGGTGCCAAAAGAGAATCCAAGCTCTAAATAAGGAGAAGAGGAGATGGTACGAGGGAGGGTTTCTTACGGATACTGCTATAACACTAATGCAAAATTATGGCTCATTAACAATTCAGTTTGGGACAAAATAGAAGCGATTTGCCCTATTATTTTCCCTAAATCTCTGGGCTCCCATCTTCATGAGATGAGCGTCGCATAGTGTGGAAGAGCCTGAGGCAGAGTTCCTGGGTTCAAATTCTGCCTCCTGCTTAGAGCTGTGTGGCCCATGAACTCGAGCAAGTTTACTTAGACTCTTTGTGTTTGAGTCTACGCATCTATAAAATGCGGACACTAATAGTGCCTACCTGATAGGGCTGTTTTGAGGACTGAGTTAATACACATAAAGTGCTTAGACTAGCACTTGATTATACCAAGTGCATAACAAACATTAGCTGATTATCTCTACCCTGGACAACTGCATATCTTACGGGGTTTCCTTGCCTTCAGTCTTAACTGCTCATGTGTTCTCTTTCTCACACTCACCAGACTTACTTGGAGAATCTAAGTCATAAATTGGAATGTACGGCCTCCTTAGGTGACACCGTTTAACTGTTCACATCAATGTCGGGAAAAAGCCCAAGTTTCCATTGTGTTCCATGAGACCCTCCATGGTCATGTCTAACTGACCTCTCCAGTTTATTTCGTGCCGTTTCCTAGCCTGGAGTTTCCCAGGAAGAGCTCCAAAACCACCCCCCTCCTCTAGATCTCTACCACTACTCTTACCATTGTGTGTTGTATAATCCATTACAGATCTGACTTCCCCACTAGATTCAAACTCTTTGATAACCCAGAGAAAATCTTATTCATCACTGCAAAAGGTTCGTCTTTGAAAATATATCCATATATACAGAGACTGACAACTTCTCACCACCTCCACTGCTACTACCCAAGTATGGCTGCCATCACCTCCCCTCTAGACTTGTATAATAGCCTGTTGTCTCCCTGTTTCCATCCTAGTTCCTTAGTGGCCTAGCCTCCACCCAGCAGTCAGACGATCCTTCTCTGTTACTTCTCTATCCAAACCTTCTGATAGCTTTCCAGCTCAGAGTAAAAGCCACAGTCTCTACACTGGTCTACAAAACCCACTTGATCAAGCCTCCTGCTCTGTCTCTGACTCATCCCTCACCATTTTTTCTTGCTGCCCCTGCTCTGCCCACAACAGCCTTCATGCTGATCCTTGAGCATTGAAAGCAGGCAGCCCCTTGAGACCCTCTGTACCTGCCATTCCCACTGCCGGAAACACTCCTCCTCCCTGACTGCCTCCCTCCCTTCCTTCCAGTTACTGCTCAAATGTCCCTGGCTACTCTATTAACACCCCTACTTTACTGCCTGACTCAATTTCTTTATCCAGGACTTTTCTTTTTCATAGCACTTATGAGCACCAGGCATACTATATATTCATCAACTATTTTCGGGTGTGGCCCTTCACTTACTGCCACACACCCAGAACACAAGCTCCAGCGAGCGCAGGAACTATGTCTGTCTTGTTCACTGCTATGCTGTTCCTAGTGCCACCATATGGTGAGTGTCATTTCAGAGGGTTCCAAG